TCCCTCCCTCTCTCCCTCCCTCCTTCTCTCTCTCTCTCTCTCTCCCTCTCCCTCCCTCCCTTTCTCCCTCTTTCTCCCTCTCTCTCTTCCGCCCTCCCTCCTTCCTTCCTTTCTTTCACTTTTGGTACATGCAGTAGGTTAATATGGCTGGCCTTGGACTTACAGAGGTTCACCTGCCTCTGCCTCCCAGAGTACTGGAATTAAAGGTATATGCTACCACGCCAGCTTTCTATTTTAAATGATTGGTTGTGAGTATAACTCAAGGGTGGAGTGCTTGACTACATGTATCAGTCCCAGGTACTGCTTTGTTTATTTTATTTTATTTATTTTTTTAAATAATTGTTTGTAGTCCTCTCAGATGTATTTTTTGTCTTAATACAGTTACATGAAAACCAAGAATTGACATTTTAAAATCTGTATATTCCATCTATCAAAACTAGCACTTCTCCCCAACAAGGGTTAAGCTGTGTGTGTGTGTTTTAACAAAGGAGCATATAACACAGTTACCTTCTTCACTCTGTTCTTTGTTCTCATTTCATTCCGTGTTAGTATGTTAATAAAATATTTACCCGTGTTTTATGTATAGCTTATAAAGAATGAATTCAGGAGTGTAGATTGCAGTGACAGACATGCAGATGTGTGTGAACTGAGGTCCCTAAGGCTTTGTCATACTTCCCAAGGGAGTTTCTCAGCGGAGCCCAGAGGAGTGGCAGCTCGGCCTCTCTGGAAGTCAGTGTTGTCCTGGGCGTCACACGCCAGGCCCTCAGCCAGACATGCGCCTGCACAGTGTCCTCTTTCAGCTCTGTCTGTATGGGAGACAGTTTTCCACTCCAATTTTATCTTTTCTTCTTTTCTTGACTTAATAAAAAACCTTTTCCTCATAAATTCTCTTACATTAGTTAACTTTTCCTTTTAATCTGACTTTCTCATCAGATGAGGAAGAAAGAATGCTCATTTTTCTCCCCTTAGTTTAACATGATTTTGCCATTGGTTTATTTCTTACATTGTCCCTTTTAAGTCCTGTGTTAGGCTTTCTGGACTTTCCTGTTGTGGTTTTTAAGGTTTTCTACTATGATACCCTCTTGGGAGATTGACGTGGTTAAATTGTCTTCTGTGTGTGCTAAGGCACACCCTAGTTCTAGTCTCTGTATTCCTGTCACGGCTCCCTTCTTCGTTGTTCCCTAGAAATGGTAGGTGCCCTTCTTCTTAGCTCCTTTGCTCAGCTTTCCTTCCGCCATGAACTTTTTTGCTTCCTTTTGAATTGCTTGAAGAGTTACTCATTTTATTGTATGTGTGAGTGTTCTGCCTGCATGTAGTATGTGTACCACATGTGTACTTGGTGCCTATGGAGGTCAGAAGGCAGCAGATCGACTGAACAGGAGTTATGGGCAGTTGTAAACTACCATGTAGAGGCTCGGAATTGAACCCAGATCCTCTAGAAGAGCAACAACTGCTTTTAACTGCTGAGCCATCTCTACCTCCGCCCCCACCCCCCACCCCACCCCCACCAATATTATGGTGTCTGGCGCTAGTTTTATCATTAAAAACATTCAATCTAAAATCTCAGTTCCTTCTTAACCCTAACTCATGTGTATAGTTGCCATCTCTGGTATACCGATCTTAATGTCAGTATTTGATCTAGAGCAGTGGTTCTCAACCTTCCTAATGCCAAGATTCTTTAATACAGTTCCATATGTTGTGGTGATCCTCAACCATGGATTTGTTTTTGTTGCTACTTCATAACTATAATTTTGCTACTGTTATGACTCATAATGCAAATGTCTGATATGCAGATGGTCTTAGGCAACCTTATGAAAGGGTTGTTTGACCCCAAAGGGGTCAGGATCCACAGATTGGGAACCACTGGTCTAGATTGTCATCATCTTCTGTATTTATTTTGTACTATTTCCTGAACCAAGTCATGTAACTTAAAATACATTTTGAATGTCATTACCTTCGAGGACCTTACTTACAGGCCCTGCAGTGTAAAGCTGCACTTTATTCTGACCCATTAGTTTGAATTTTGGGGAAAACATATTACAGATGAGAAACCATTTTGAAACTTCAGTGGTAAATGCTGTGTGTGCAGTAGAATACAAAGTTTGTGGATTCTGTTGGAGATTTTAAAGGAAATCCTATTTCCTTTTGAGGTTATCTTTTATATTGGCCTTTGGATCCAGGACTGAAGCGAGTAGTCTCGATTGACTGCTCTTTCTTGCTAAAAGTGTTTTATAGCCTGGTAAACTTCACTCACACATTGGATTAAAACCCAGCGAAGCCCACAGAGGAGGCTTTCCTGGTGGTCAGAGTTGCTCCTTTGCCTGCTTGTATCTCATCCAGAAATTATTTATAGGTCTTGGCTTGCATTTACGATGTATTGGTAAGCTTCTGGTAAGATTATCACTTGGAAAGGGTTTAGGTTTTGGCCCAGGTCTTTCTGTTCTCATTTTATTTGCATGTGTAGATAGTTTGTTTGGATTTAGTTGTCTTGTGTTCTCTCTCTCTCTGCTTTTGCTATTCTACATAGTCATGGGTTCCTAAGAATTGTAGAAAATGTGGTCCTTGAGTATTCTCTGTGGGGTTGGTTGCTCTGGCGGGTGCCGCTCTCCCTGTTTGACTTCTGTGCTTAGTGGTGTGCCTTTTCAGTGAGGTTGCTTTTCTTTTCTTCCTGCTCATATCCTTTTGTATTCTTTTATTATGGATTGATCTGTCTGTCTCTCCATCTATTTTTTTTAATTATGTATTTTTGAGACAAGCTTTCACTATGTAGCTAGCCTTGGTGACCTGGAACTTGCTGTGTAGACCAGGCTGGCATGGAAACCATGCTAGACTTGTCCTGTGCATTTTATCTAGCCATAGATTAGAAAGTGTGTTCTCTGAACTAATGGTTGAATGCATTGTTTATGGTGACCTTGTACTGTTGTGGTGAGCTCCTGGCATTATTTGAATTTATTATCATTTTCAGATGTTCCTTTGGGGGCAGTTCAGTATCACAGTGTGTTTTGTGCTAGTGAGATGGAGACTTGTCAGGTCCCTAGTTCTTCTGCGCCTGTTTAAGTCTTGGGAGAAGTCGTGACCCTCGTGTCGATGTTTCTCATTGTTCTTGGTCTTTTCCCCTTTTCTTCCACCAGCCCCAGTGGTAGTTTTCCTAGGTGGGTAGGTTACTGCCTATAGAGCTCTTTTATAGGACTGTATACTGAATACTGTATACTATATACCGAAGGACTGATGGTCCTTCAGTAACCCCTTCTGAGACTTTAGTGAATAAGATTCCTAACATTTTAGATATTAATGTTTTAGAACACAGCAAGTAAATTACAGAAGAATCTTTGCATTTCATAGTGTTTTATGAACCCAATTATTAACATCCATACTAAAAAAGAACAGAGAAGGAACCCGGCACCTCCATAAAATCACAAGGATGCATTTTGTTTTCACTTAGGAAAAACAGCTAGATCACCTTCAGGCTCTGTAAGTGAGAGCAAAAATGATGAATCTTTAATATTGTTCTCTTAGGATAGTGAGTAAACCATGTCACAGATTTTTATAATGTAAAGAAATTGTCTCTGTGAAATTTTTATTCTGTTGGCTTTAGTAGATGATAAATAAGAAATCCTATCAGATTTTATTGTTTATACATTTTTTTTCTAGAATTTTGGAAAATGAGGTCTAGACATTTTTTAAAAAATTTAAAATTAGCTGGGCGATGGTGGCGCACGCCTTTAATCCCAGCACTCGGGAGGCAGAGGCAGGCGGATCTCTGTGAGTT